AAGAGCTAGGTGTATAGCCCCCAATTAGAAGAAATTAGGAGCAAACTCCAAGTTCCTTAATGGGAAGGAGTGGAAAATTTGGTAAGGGCAATCAAATTTCAAATGGGAATAAAATTAAAGTTAGCTAACTACAACCCTACACAGCTACTGAGGAAAGGAAAATCCACCAATGAAGACTGTACCTGCCTAAGAGCCAAACCTGGATGTCTGTCCTGGGCAAGATCAAATCAAGACTGGGATCTCTATGGTCCAGGACGGGTGTGGCAACTTTGGCTGACTTGATCTGATTGGGCAGGAATACAGTCTAAACCCATTGGTGGATTCTCCATCTCCAGTGCTGGGGAAAATATGGATGTAGGTAATAAGTACAGGAGATAAGCAATCAAATTCCAGCAAAATCATGGATTGAATAGGTGACCTTCATAGTTCATTTGTAGGTTAAATGCTGTAATTCAATCTTCTCCAATATTCATCTTCCAGATGTGTTATTCTATCAGAGCACACACAAAAAGTTTACCCAATAGTTTATCAGCAAAATTATTTTAACAATGGTTAAAATGCCATGGTTTAATTACAATGGATTGATTCACATGTCATAAAAGTTTATAAATCACAATGCCTGTGTTCAGAGCCTAAATCACAAACAATCTTCTGATTTATTGTATTGTATATATAGTCGCTTTGTATTTATTGAATTTCATGTTATTTCACTTACATATTCTAAATTAAGGAACTGAAAGAATATAGTTGCCTTGGGAATTACCCATAACCAATCAGAAAATCTGTATTTAAAATATATCAATTTATCTGCTGTACTAAAATTGGAAATATCTGTAGAATCTCTCTATGAAAGTATGTTTCCTAATTTCTGCCTTACAATTACATGAAAACTGTTGATTCTATAGTATTTTTGGCACCTATTTAATTGCTGCACTATTATATAGGTAATCCTCAACTTAGAAGCACGAGTCCAAAACTTCTGCTGCTAAGCAAAACAGCTGTTAAGTGAGTTTTGCCCTATGACCTTTTATGACCTTTCTTGCCACAGCTGTTAAGTGAATCACTGCAATTGTTAAGTTAGTAAAACAGTTGTTAAGTGAATCTGCTTCTCCATTGACTTTGCTTGTTAGAAGGTCTCAAAAGATGATCACATAGCCCCAGGAAACTGCAACCATCATAAATATGAATTAGTTGCCAAGCGTTTGAATGTTGATCACATGACCATAGGCAAGCTGTAACAAGCTGTAAATGAGAAAAATGGTCATAAGTCGCTTTTTCAGTGCTGTTGTAACATCAAATAGTCACTAAATGAACTATTGTAAGTCAAAGCACTACTTTCCACTTAACTGATTTATCAGAAATATTTTTGCTTTCTTCTCATTTGGGAAGGTCAGAGCAGCTTCCCAGCAATTTACCAGCCAGGTGTTGACTTGTCTGAACTCTCATTCGTTTCCAACAATGCAATTATAATCATATGTTCAAAGCTATCCTTAATTCTAACTAGTAAAATACGGCTTGAAGCGTAACTAAAAGAGAGCAACGCCAAGGAATATTATTTTTCTTTTAAAATCTGACTGAAAACACATTTCAAATAACAGAAAATGCAAACATGTTAAGATTGGATGACAATTATTGGATTCCCCCCCCCCATGCATAGTGATTAGTTTTTCTTGAACAATAGATGATTGAAACCACTCTGAAGTGTTAGCATACTATTTTAGGGCCAGGAGTGAATGAGTGAAATGAAGGGCATGCATGCCTACACTTAATTTCATGTTATAATGGTCACATTAATGACTGGATGCTATATTTAGAAGATAGAGTTTAAATCCCAGTAAAATCCTGCACATCTCAGGTATCCTTGTTAATTATATAGGTAAGCGAACAGAAAGTAACAACTTTAAAGAGAAATCCACTTGAGAAAGCAGCTGCCAATATTAATGGATACACGAATGTCACACAGTGTAGAAGTCTGATGATATTCACCTGTTTGTTCTCCTGTGTGATAGATTTCATCAGTATTTTCAAAATATTGCTTTCTGTGTTGTCCAAGAATGATTTGTTACTGTAGTCCAACCATTCTAGAAAGCGAAAAGGCTGGGGAAGGCCAATATATATCATTTGCCAACCTTCTTTTTCCACTAACCCAATAACTTTCTACAAAAAAAATAAAATAAATGGACATAGATTTGACACCCAAATAGCATAACACTAAGGAATATAACCGTATGTCACTGAAAAAGCAAAAAAAAAAAAAAAAAAAAAAAAAAAGCAAAAAAAAAAAAACATTCCCAAGGAAATCCACAATAGAATTGAACTAGACTTTCCAGGTATGACATTTGCACCTTTGTGGGCCTACAACATCCCCAATCACTGCCTTTTGCTTCAGAATAAGCAGGAATATCTATTTCAACCCTTAAATCTGTTTCATAAGAACAGGCTAATTTTTCCAGAAATGTTTATGGAGCAAAATACATGCTCTCTGCAAGGCTTTAAAGAATCCATGTTACCTCTTAAATCCCCTCAACTCCTAAAGCCAAATAAAAGGGGCCAAAAATCAAGACACCATGGACTAACAATCCCCTCACTTTGCCACACATATACCTCTTCACTCCTATGGTCAATTTGTTTTTTAAAAATGTGTTTTCTTTATCCATTCTCCAATGTTATGTACAATATTTGGCGGTTGTATATGAGAGCTGCAGTAGTTTTTGAATTTTATGGTCTTTCTCTCTGTGTGCATGCAATACAAATATAACCCAAAATAAAATTATTTTATTCACAAATTCTGTGTTTGTCACATTCCTTGAGTTTTTGGGTTACCTTTGTTGGCAATAGACCAAGAATGCCATCCCCTGCAATTATTAGAGGATAAATCTGGCCGTGCTCAGTACAGTTTGCTTTTGAATAAATATGGAAAAATTTTGCAGAGTTACACAGTAACTCAGGAAGGTGAGACCACAGGGCATAATCTCCTGTAGAGTGCATTATCACCCAGCCAGCTGTGTGGTTAAATGCTAGGGAAAGATTACATTTTTTGATGAAGCTTGCAACAGATCTTCCTACAACTCTTGTTTCCCATTTTCTTAAAACCTCTGCTCCCAATCAAGGAAATGAAAAGGCAGGAAACAGTATATTGCTTTATCTGAAAAGAATGTACAACTTTCTGAAACCACACCACTGTACTGCATATTTACCTCAGTCAATAAAACTCTTGTTTGCATCTTAGAAAAACAGGAAGCCAGAGAACGAGATTCTGACTGTATGTTTGATAATGAACTCTCTTCTCATCTTCTTCGACAGAATGGCAGTTTTTTTTAAAAAAAGAGAGAATATGGAGCTGAAAGCAGACCACATAGAAGAGGAATAGGTGCTCTGAAACACAGTGTTTCTTCATCTTGGGAAGGTAAAGATTCACACTTTTAATGTGTGCTCATAGTAACCCGGATTAAGGAATATCACAAGAAATTTAATATCCAGAGTGTTCTAAGAATGCAAATAGTGGTATGCCATTTGCCTGTCATATTGGTTGCTAAGATTCTAATTAGCAAGGTTGGTTTTGAATTCTGGGGGTTGTGATTCAATACCTGTGGAGGGAACTGATTGTTTTTAACCAGTCTTCTCCAACTTGGTGCTCTTCAGTCAAAGTGACCTGCAAGTGTAATGAGTCAACTTTATGATATCCAAATGCTGTTGAACAATTGTGTTTATCTTTCCTACCCTTTAAGTGGGATGGACTGTGGCTCTTTGGCAGTCAAATAACCTTTGGAGAAGGTTATTTCAAATTCTTACTGCAAGCAGGATATCTAATTCCTGCTCTGTACTTTGAATGACTGGGTGATAAAGAGAACATTCAATAAACAATGCTGTTCTCAGCAAATAAAACTTGGAAAAGTTAGTCCATTCAACTTGTTTCACAAATATATTTTAAAATCAAATGTGGTCACACTGATTCATGAACACATAACATTTCCCTCTCCAAAATTGTAATTGTGCTTCATTTACCACACTTGCTTATAAACCACATGGCAGCTTACATAAGAAACCATCCCAGTTTTATTCTCATAATTAGCCTGTGAAGTTGGGTAACAGCCACTAGCCATTAGTCATCCAGAAAGTTTCACTGTGAATTGTAGCTCTGAACCAACATCTTCCCAATTCTAGGTTGCTTTAAACACCCAACAAAGATGATGTTGAACAGTCATGCTAAAAATCTTTCCAAGCAGACAAAAATTCAACAGGTGCCAATACCTTCTCCCAGAAAAAGTAGCATAAATTGTTCCAACATTCCCACTGTTCAAAGGTAGAATAACATCATCCTGTTAATGAGTAACAGTTGTTAGCTTCAGAGACATGGCTATCATCTTATCCAATTCCTCTCATCTAAAATTACCTTCCTCGGGATGTAAGATCACATCCACACCATTGAGTTGTCCCTTAATGTTCTTGAACTCGACCATCCAGAGAAGAGTGTGTGACAGGAATCCAACTGAAAGACAAGAAAAGTCCCCTGGATATGCCCAGGATCCTAATCCAACTGTGGTTCCATCACACACACTATGATATCCTGCCAGATTCAGAAGGAAGCCTGTTAATATTCTGCCATTCCAGAAACTTCCTAACTCTGCCTCAAAAATCCTTTCTACCCAGCCCCATCCTAATAACCTTATTGTCACACTTGACAGAATATTCCTGTTGTTACCCAACAAGAGAAAAGAAGTCTGCTCATGCTCCAAAACACTTCACTTATATTACATAAATCCACCAGCTGAGAGAAATGTTTCCCCTTTAACACCTCTGCTTTGAGGTGAAACCCTGGGCCATCAAACAAACCTGGTTAGTAGCCCCAGGCCCTCAGATAAGAAATGATTTTCCACTGTGGAGAAACGCAAGCTTAAACAGCGAAAAATTCACTCTCGACAAGAAGACACTCTCGTTTGCTCAGGGTTCAAGAGCTCTTCTCCACCACCAGCATCTCCCAGGTACGCTTCTTTCCTTACCGAGACTCTGCTTCGGTTTCATGGCTCCGATGAATTTTACCCGGTCAGCCAAGCACTGCAAAAGTAAAAGCGCTCCAGCAGCCACTACCTTCGCTTTCCAAAGCCTCGCCATCGCGACTCACGGCAACTGTCCCTTTCCAGCCGCTGGCGCGCTCTTTGGTCTCTTGGGTGCGCCCGTTGGGTAACAGCGAAAAGACGACCTCCCCTTTCCACCTCGTTCCCCGCACTTCACTTCCTTTAAATCCGACTGTAAAGTCACTTTTTCTGCTGATCCGGTTTCATTCAGACTAGGAGCAAGAGAGGCAAGCGCCTGCGTCTCCTTCGTCCACGACTGACTCTTTTCCTACTCGTGAAGCCAAAAAATGAGCTTAGTCCAGCAGCGCAATAACGGGGAATAATGTGTGTTTGCATACGCGTGGGGTGGATGTGTGCGTGTAGGAGGGTGTCAACAAGCAAAACCGAAATCGAGATTCCTGGTTGCTGAAGCCAAACTCCGCTCAGGAGAGTCCAGGAGGGAGAAATCAAGACCCAACAAGCAGGCGCTTAACTCCGAGCTCCCCCACCCCCTTTCATGCTCGTCCAGAGCAGAAATCGACGGTAAGGAAGGAAGGCTCTGAAGAAGATCGCGTGGTGGTGGGTTGTTTTTTTTTTCCGCCTTAGTCAAACGTAACTTAACTTAAACGAGGGCTTGAAGGAAGCCGTATTAGAAAACAAATCCACCCAGGAGGAGGCTTCCAAATTCTTCGAGCCTCGAATTCCTGCGGTGCGATCCAGGGGAGAACTCCAATGGGCAGATCTAACGAAACAAGCGCCCGTTCTCTTCCCGTTGACTGGTCCAGAGGTTGGGCTGGTCCAGAGGACGTAGATGGCCAAGGAGCTCCCGGAAGAAAGCGAATCCCGCTTCCTCAGTGGCTTTAAGGCGATGGGTAGAATCCAGCGGCGACAAGACCTGGAAGAAGACGGATTGTACGACTGCCCGATTCAGCTAGATAAAAACCGAGGGCAAGCGCTTCACCCGCACACACAGAGAGGCAACTTGCAAGGAGCCATCCAGAGATGCCTTCTCGCCTCGCTAGGCAGTGGGCGAAGCAACCCTGCGCGAGGGGGAAAGAGTTTAGCTGCCACGATCGCCTTACCTCCCACTCCCACCACCCAGCCCGCTTTCCTCACTTTAGAAAAGTCTCTAGTTTGGGGCAAAGCATAAAAGCAGCCGCCGCCACAACCGCCTCTACTTCCACCTTCTGCCGGAAGCCGGTTGCCCCAACCGAGGCGCTTTTCCCGAAAGAAGGGAGAGAAAGAAAGAAGGGGGAGGGGCAGATGAGTCTCTGGGCTTGCCACGACCTCCTCCTCCTCCTCCTCCTCCTTGCCAGGAGATGAGCAGCGCCTTCGTGCAAATTTCGGTATTTTCTCCCCTCTCTTTTGTCCTGCGGCAGAGATTGATCAAATGCGTCTCCCCCTCCCACAGTCTCTCGCTACCAAAAGGAGAAAGAGGCTGGAGCTCCTGCTGTGCTTTAATCCGCGGCGAGCAAGGAAAGGAGGGTGTCGCCCTTAGGTACCGCTCGGCCTCCCCAAAACAAACACACGCGGCTGAGAAAAGCTTCCCACCGGCGCTGAGAAAGGAACCGCGTGCAGCAGGGCTGAAAAGCGCGCAGAATGGAAGGCACGAAAAAACAAATCATACTTAAAGCAAATTTATGCCGAATCAGGAGGATAAAAGTATTTAGAGGAAATGCAGCGTCCACGGAAACCCGTTCCGACAAAAGTCTAGCTTAACGTGGGTCATGCCTCTTAGGTCGCACCGCCATCTAAAGCATGAGAAAAAAAACAGAACCGGGCTCAGTTCATGCCGACTCTTTCCTCAGCAACGTCACTCCCGCTTGGCCCTCTTGAGGAATTCTCAGTCTTTTAACAGCTTAAGAACCGAAAATAGAGTAGGAGAATGGAGCAAGGACGAAGGGAGGCAATAAATCATGGCTGAATGAATGAATCGTATTCCCGCGCAGGGATTCAAGCGTTGCAGACAGCGTACGCTGCCGACGAAAGTCTGTTTCTGAAACTCGTTGCTTTAGCTGTGCACGCCCCCTTTCAAAGGTGGGAGCGTTACATGTAGGACTCATGATTATTACCGATTTAGGCATCTGGTAAGAAATTATTTCAGATGCCCTGGCTGCGAAAGACAGGGTTTAATTAAGGAAAAGCAAAGAGGAAGAGATCCTTCATCCACTTGTGAAGTGTTTTGGGGTCCGGTAGTGTTCTTTGAAATAATAATGGACATCCACTCAGACTTGGCTTGAAATTAAGCATCAAAGCTCAGTCTCCAGTGTTTTAATATAATATTTCACAAGTAAAAAGTCGTATTTAAAGATTTTTTTTTAAATGCTGTTTTTGCATTTTAAAAAGCTGCATAATAACTTCTGATAATTTCAGTAGATTCTTTTTCTCTTGCAGGTATTTAATGCAAAACTCGTTATTTTAGATACAGATTATTGTATTCACTCATATTTTTTTTCTGGGTTGAATGGCCACATGTTGTTCATTTGTAACCCATCCATCTTTTTTCAAAATAATTTTGATATGGATGATAGTGGTAGACATCTTATAAACATATTCATTTTGTTTTAATTCTCAATTGTGCTAATTTAAACTCTTTATTTTTTATAAAAGGGAAATGTTTCTTAAATGGAAGAATGTTGTAACACCATAAAAAATTATTTTGAAAATAAAGAGGGAAAACTTTCCTAATAATGAGCAAACATACATTTCATTAGTAAAAATGGGCAATCATACATTCCATTATTAATAATGGTCAATTACAAATTACAGTATGCTATTGCATGAGATAGTGTAGTTGGAAGCTTTTTTAAAAAAATATTGTTTGGATCACTAAGATACACTAAATGTATGAAAATAATTGTGTGATCTGCCATTTTTCATGCATTTTTAATGACGAGTGCTACCTCAAAATTGGAAAGGCTGGAAACTCTGTCTTCAGTTGGAAGCATTAATAGCAATCTTGAGGTGATTTAACCATTGTTGAAAAGTGTGACCGTATATGGTACATCATCTATAATGAAGTAAGAGCATCATTTTATACTTCTGTGTACCGAACCTTAGTGGGGTTTTTTTTGTGGATATCAGGTTGTTGGGTTTTTTGCATTTATATAACATCTAAATTCTTTTGGGAATGCTTCCATTAATGTCATCCCTTTTATCCTGCCATCCCAAGAATTGAGAATATTTTTCATTGCATCTTGTAAAAAATCTTATTAAGGAAGCAAGTTTGCTATAGATCAACATCTAGATTTTCAAGGCTTTGGAGCAAATTGCTAATTATTTTATTTATTCATTTATTCATTTATTCATTTATTTGACTTATATTACTGTCTGTTCACATAAGTAACTCTTGGTAGCTCACAATATTAAAAATAATAAAGACATAAACAAATATAGAGCCAATAGCAGCAAGAAAATATAATTACAACACCAGAGTCCAGCACTCAGCATAACAAAGCTATGGGCCCTGGTCCACAACCCAGCCCAGGCTCAAGCACAGAGCCATGTCTTCAGGGTCTTATGAAAAACCAATAGGAAAGTGCCAATTTTGTGAATCCACAGGAAATATATAACCATATGATGATTTGTTATGCATTGCAAGTGGAAAGTTGTAGATTCTATAGGCTGCCCTACAGTAATTGTTAAAGAAAATGTCTACATCCATGTTACACATCTGTATTTCCTGGAAGTAATAAATCTTCAGACGCTTAAGAGGCCAGCACTACCACATATCTTTGTTATACAGTGTTGAACGTATTTCTTGAAATATGGTTTACAGTTGATGCCATTACTACAGCATTTCATTTACCTAATGCACTTTTAAAAATGTTATCTATCCTTGGTCATAGATTTTTTTTTCATGGTGTTGGATGTAATCCAGATGTTATGGACATTGATGCACAGACCAGCATTTTAAAAAAAAAACATTAATTTCATACAAATGTGGATCTACTTGTGATGTTTGGAGCACTTTGCAATAACAGCTAGAATAACAAACAAATATGTAACCATAAAAGTCTTAGATAGATATTCTATACCATGAAGAAGCCCTAGTTTACTTCTGCCCTATAGATCAATAAGTATGCAGGTCACATAAGTTGTAGCTATGTTATCAGCCCCATTTTGAATAGGCTCAGGCAAAACATGTTTGCATATGCAGCTGGGATAGGAATCCTGGGTAGAATTCTTAGCTGCATCAAAATACTTTTACATATTATTTATCAGCTGAAACTGATCATGCAGAGGCTTTTAAGACTCAGGAGTCCGAGGGCAAAATATTTACATAAAATTTGCCATACTTTCTTTTCGATAGCATCAATGAGTTTTTTGCTGTTGATCTTTTCTCCTTTAGAGTCAATAGTCCATTAAATGAGAGTGTTTGGGAAAACGTTGGGAAACTTTGGCATATAGAATCTTGAAAATCAGGGAACTCAACATGATGTAGTTTTATATATTTCTTAAAATGAATAAAATATATTTCTAATAGCTTACATTCCATTTAAAGGATGTTGATGTTCAGTTAATATTGTTCCTATACAAAGAATTCCATGGATCTCACTTTATAGCTGTTTTCTAGGCTGGAAGGAGGAATTTTTAATCTTTCAGATGTTGCTATATGTAATTCCAGTCTGTGACATTGATGCTGACTGAGTTTGATGTCAGTTGGAGTCCAAAAATATCTGAAAGGTCAGAGATTGTCTATCCTGGTAGTTTTCCTTGCCATTCTAATCATTATATTATATTACCTGAAACTATAGCTTGTTAATGATTCATAAAACCTTCAACAAAGCGACTGTTTATCTTCATTGCCTTTTAATATGCAGCTGTTAATAGCCATGAAAAAAAAACCTTTAGAAGCACTAATTTGTTCCTTTATTGTTTATTTAGATACAGTTGTATCATTGCACAAAAGAAAGGAAAGTGTATAATGACGGTTTTTATTGAAGAAGAAAATTGTTTAATGGTTTGGAATCTGCTAAAGCTAAGTTGTCCCTTCATGTACAGTAATTTGACTATTTTTGCCAGCAGATTTCAGATTAGAAACCATCTCTACTTTTTGAAGTCTTGTTTAGACTATTAATGCAACATTAGCAGATTTATCATCAGGCAAGTGAAATTCTTTAAGTGGGAAGTAATTGGTTTGATATGTTTGAATAACACCTGCTGGGATAATTATCAATCTCTCTCATGTTGAGGATAAGAAGATGAATGCATTAAGGATTGCAAAGGCTTTATGGCACAGTGCAAGATTAGCATTGTTTGACTCAAAGTCAGTCTCACTGGGAGATCAAGAGAAAGTTCTGTGGCTATTACAGACATTAAGATTCTGCCTGAAGATATCAAAGGACTTTATTGCATTAAAATTAAGAAGTCAACTTGTCAGAGATTGAATTACATATGTTGTCCAGCTTTCACAGCTGACTTAAAGAGATTCCCTGGGCACAAAAAACTACATGTAGATAAATGTTGACGTGCAGAGCTCACCGTGGCAGCCTTCATAATCTCACTCCAAAAAATAGTTCAGGACTAATTATGCACAGAAATCTGTTTTTGAGCATCATCAAAAAAAATCATAGAGTAATGGGGTTGGTCCTGTTTTATGATTTTCTCTGAATATGTCACAACTAATAGCCCAGCAATAAAAGCTAATACAGGTAGTCCTTAACTTATAACTGGTTACTTAGTGGCCCTTTGAAATTATGACAGACCACTCAGAAGATACTTATGACCTGGTTCCAAAGTTCTAATAGACATCTCCCCATAAGTTCATGTGAATGCATTTTGGGCTCTTGACAATCAGCCCACATCTACAGCTGATTGTAGGTAGCATCCTGCAGCAACATATAATCACATGATTAGAATTTATGATTTTTTTTTATCAAAATCTGCGTTTAGACAAAAATGTTTCATTGAGAACAATGGGTTCACTTAATGACTTCCTCAAACAAGGTGACAGTGGTCACATGATAACCCACTTTATGATTGCCATGATCTTCAATTGTAATTGGCAGGCTCCATTAAGTTTGTAAGTTGAGAACAAGCCATATACATTAGGCACCAACTTGCTAGTAATATAATTTCTCCTGTTCCAAATGAATTCTATTTTCCTGAATGCTGAGCATAGAATTAGTAAAGAGTGAAGATCTTAGGTTCTGTTATTCATTTAATGGATAAAGAAGTATAACTTGAGGTTCTAGGTAGAGGCGTCCACAGTGGAGGTAAAAAAAAGTCAAGATCATGTCTGCACAATTGAAGCCCCGTTCCTTTTCATGCACCGCATATGCAACATATTTTAAAAGAGGGAAGACTTTGATCATGCAGGGATAGCCACCATCACCCTGATCTTCAGAGCTAGCCATTAATATATCCCTGGATATAGGATTGCTAGTGGTTCCCAGAAATTTGTGTGCAGCCTCATAGCCACTCAGAAAGTTGCTTCCAAACTATAACTTAATGTAATTCAAAGGGAAATGATAATACTTTAGATTTTTTTCCCCTTTTGAAACGTATTTGTGGTCACAGTCCAGCTTAGTTTTTGGAGTGCAGATCTTTCCATGCCAGTTAAAAACCAAGTGTTTTTCAGGTCCTCGGCTGAAACTACTATGGCCTTCATTCATAGAAAATGGACGCCAGGATATTGCTGTGATTAGGCTGTCTTTGAAGATCAATTTTGCTTTCTTACAGTGTGTAACTGGCATCTTGAGTATAAATGGATTAAGGAAGAATGCTTACCAAGTGAGAATGCTTGTTTCTCTGTGTTGTTAAGGAGAGAAAATGCTGCCTTCCTTTGCTGCTTCTCTGTTCTTGTAGTAACACCATCAATCATCATGAGGTGGGGGAAAAAGAGCTGCCTTACTAAGTTCAGTGTTTGTGTGTTCAGTAAATGTTCTTCCTTTTGTGTCATTTTGCACACCGACACTCTCCCCTTAAGTGGCAATTCTTCTTGGTTGCAATTTTCCATCCCTTATTTTTTTTCCCTCTGCAACAAACTGCAATAGATTGCTTGGCTTTGTGCATGCTCACATAACCTCAACATTAAACATTTCCATTGCTGAAATGAGTTTCTGTGCCAGAAGATTTGAAGCATATGCAATGAAAGCAGCTGTACTAGCAGCAACCAAGAAAACTGGAGTAGGAAAGGAACTGTATTGGAAGTGGAATCACTGCCCATACAATTGCATGGCAGGGTAGAAAGAGCCAATGCAGAAGGAAATTACAGTAATTCAGACTCTTAATATAAAGGACTGGATGTCAGTTAATAGTTGATATCTCTTCACCACTACTTATTTAAAGATAAAGAGGAGAATTCCTATACCGACTTTGTTTACTGTGTAGGCAGCCCCACATTTCCCAGAATTCTCAATCACAGATTTGAACATGGCACTTTGGTAATGATATAATTTCCTGCTTGGTCCCAAAATCCAAAGTAAAGCATCCTTAACAGATGGCTATCCAACATTATTTGAATATCCAATGAAGGTCTACCAACTCAATCTTTCTAAAGCTTGACAACCTTGAAATGTGTGGGGAACTTCAACTCCCAGAATTCCCCAACCAGCATACTAGACCATTAGCTATCCCACCAAGTCAACAAATCTAAGTAAATTGTTTATATCATTGCATCAGAGCCTTTAATATACTAAAGTCGAGGTTAAAACATTTGGTGCACCATTGGGTATGGCTGCCACTACAAGTGTCAACAGTTTCACTCCCATCTGTTTGTTCACTAACTGTTGCATGGCAACAGTCTTACATATGGATGCTACTCTTTAAGGATTAGGTAGGGGGACACTTTTAAAATGTGTGTCTGGGAGGAGAGGAATCTAACAAATTAACCACAATAGGAAGAATAAAATTCTTCACACTGGAGATGGTTGATGGACCAATGGCAAATCCACCTCTGCCTCTGCATGTCCTTCTCCCTCCCTCATCATCTTTTAGTCATAATCTGTATTTTTATTGTTCTTAGATATATGTTTATATGGGTCTTTTTTGCTTTTAAAGTTATAAATGCCCAGAGTTCCCTCATGCTGAGATTGGTGGGAAACAAATTTAATAAATAATAAATTATTAATAATAGAGTTAATTGGGACATTTATCTCTTATGGCCTCTGAACTAAGATTGTTAGACATGCCCTTTTGTATAGAGCCAAATACAGGCTAAAGTTTTAAATATGTCAGGAAATGTAAGAAATATTCTTTTTGTAGGGTTAATCCTAGTTTGAGAGCAAAATGCAGGAATAGTATAGGAAACAGAGTGTCAATGCTGTGACAATGGATATCGTCACTCTCACAACTGAGAACCAACAACCATTTTTATTTTTGCTTTTAACATGCCTTTTCTATTCTTTCAGAGTTCAGATGTAGAAGGGGGGATGGGGTAAATGCCTGAGGGTTTAGCTAGCCATAAAAATGTAGAAGTGTGGAAACTCAAGGACGTGTTATGATAAGGTTTTGGCGGGCTGGGGAAGAAAGCCCACGTTTTGTGCTAATTGGGGAATGTGTTTTATGACAGCTCTTGTGGGGTGGGAATTACAATTTGTTACTTTGTATCTGGGAGGAGGGAATCTCATTCTTGGGTTCAACTATGTAAGTGCCAATACTTTGTATCCTAAATAAAATGTTCTTTAAGGAAGAATTCTTGCCTTGAAGTTCTTTTACTGGTTTCATCTATCAGAATCGTGAAATTGCTTTTCCTCTCATGGATTGATTGAAAATGGATAA